TCGACAACACTAATTATATAGCCAATTACTCTAAAGAATTTTCAACAGATTATTCTTCAGTGTTTTCGTCTACAGACCCTAAGAAGGATAAAATTATGAAAGTACTGATGTATTCTGTAAACAATCCAGGATATATCTTTATTCCTGGAAATCTAGTACTTGAAGATGCCGGATCGGATGTAAAAGTATCTACATCATTAACCCCGCCGATTCTTCCCCAAGGGGAAGCGTTATTGTCATTGCTATGGCTGCCAATATTATCATAGTACGATGGTACTCTCCAGTTGCACGGGCAAGGGTCATAAGGCGATTTCATTGCGTAACGTTTACTTTCTTCAGCTAATTGAGCGTTATTTAGGTCACTTATCTTGCCACCACGAGTGTCACCCCAAAGATCCCAGGCAACATTTTTTGAAGCATCCGTGCTGAATTCGTTTCTGTATTTCTGCTTAGAGAACCATGTTGTATATCTTTGGTGGTACCATATTTTGGCACTGTTTTGAACGAACATATCTTCTCCATTATTATTCACCGTCTCATTATATTTTCTTACATAAAGTGGTGGAATGATCATGTGGATCGGATTCTGAACAGAATAACGAATATTTCCGCTCGGAGTGTCATATCCCGTATTGTCTTGTGGATATAGGTTTCCTCTGTATTTTACCGGTAATGAAGAAGTTGATCCTGTTCGATAAACAGCATATTGATTCCTCATGTTACCGATTTCTCCAGAAATCTCATACATCGTTCCGTCTTTATGTCCAAAAGCTGGGAATGGGTCTTTTCTTCCCCATTGATAGTGTAACCCTTGAGATTTATGCCAATCGTTACCCAGGAAGTTCGCGCTTGTTGCCCCAAGGTTTCTGTCCATCCATTTCCAATCTGTGACAGAGAGCCCGTTTTTATCTTTCTCGAAACCCAAACGGTAAGTACTACCATTCACAGTTGGATCATCTGTTACCCAAACATGCCAAGTCCAGTAAACTTGATCATTGACTCGATAAGATACGACGGCATTTCCTTCCTTAAGTCTATTAACTAAGACCTTAATTTTAGCATTTTCACCTGTTCCTTCTAAAGCAATGGACTTGATCAATCCGGGTTCATCCTCCCAATATAAACCAGCTGTCACCGTTCCGGATGGAATAGGAGTGTAGTTTCCGTTGTCGTCTTTCATGAATTCACCTCCTCTGGACCACATTTCATAAGCTTTCTTCACAGGAATGTAAAGACCGTCAAGATCCTTTCCATTTCTATCTTTTCCTGTGAAAATGTAGCTGTTCGGTGCTTTTGACCAGTCTGTAACCACATAGTCTGAAGCAGCCCCAGGATTGGCGGCAAAACATACGGCTGCGCATTCTGAGATGCCATCGTAGGCAATGGTATTTCCGAAAATGCCGGTGTACCTGATGAATTTGGAGATCTCTTTTTCAATATCCTGCATCGATCGGATGGATGGGTATCCTGGAGTGAAATTCACGAAGTCATTTCGTAATGCACCCATGCCATACAATGTCATTTCAGAAGTACTTGAAACGATAAAGTTTTCAGATCCGGGTCCTCTACGACCACCTCCCTGATTATTAGTATATCCAAAATATAACGCACCGTAGTTGCTATAACCTGTAAGGTTTATATAAGTTCCATTACTTCTATAAACTCTGAAGCCTGTAGTCATGCTGGATACAAATACGACCGGCTCCTGGTCACTGATAAAATCTGATAACTTTTCACTGATAGTATTGTATAAATTGAAATATCTGCTCTGGAGGCTGTTAGGATTTTTAAAGTTATGATGCCCGGGACCGTTTGGTTCACCCGGCCATTGACTGAATTTGATGAGAAATCCGGTTACTGAAAATTTGCCCGCG